AGCATCCTCAGGACAAATAGATTTGTGCGAATTGTCAATTTCCAGTGGAAATGTTCCATTTAAACTATTACAAGTATTGTTCACTAATGACTAAAAAGCGTAGATAATTCAGTAATTTCTTATTTGTGAGTTGGTTGAAAAAAAAAATCTTCTTTCTTCACACCGTAACAAAATAATTGCATTCTTCGACGAAACTAAATACTGTTACAAGTTTTTAATATTCGATCTACTTTTATACCTGTTGTAATTGCCATCGACCAATAACAGTACATTTAACATGTGCGCCACTGAATTGCAGTAAATTAATTAATAATAGGGAACCACTCCTTCGACAGGAAGCAGAAATTATTTATGCAACTGCTAATTAAATAATTGCATAGGAGTAGTGACAGATGCAACTGCACAATTTTTTGTGGTGGTTATGAAAAACTGCAAAAAGCATCCATTCAGTGCTGACATGCAATAGTTTCCCTCGTTTTCATGAGTATCGAATCGTTCAGAATTCGCTTGTTGCATTTTAGTTCATTATTAAAGGGCCACTTACCAGGGATCTGTTATAATTTCCACGATAAAAGCGGCTTTTTGCAGTGAGAATTAATTTGGGTTTTGCTTTATGTGCAGTTTTCCTGGTGCATCAGTCAATAAGGATGATTATTAGAGAGCGGATTTCTAGGCTTAATGCTTTTTGTGAAAAATGTAAGCACTTCAAAACTTTTTTATATCTGTAACTATGATACAATTTGGAGTCATTTGACGCACTTTTTTATGCTTATTTGCTTTTTTTTCAATTTTATGCACATTTAAACTTATATGCTTATTTAATGCTTTTTTCGACGAATATGAGTTTTAATGCATATTTTGTTCAAATGCCGGCCTTGTCGGGATGACAAATACTTGTTAGTTGAAGTACACTTACTCAAAACCCTTTCTGTGAATAGGTTCCGGTCGTTTGGGTAATAAAATTTTATTATAGGATTGGAAAAATTCTCCATAGATTTTATGACTTTAAATCCTTACTTCCGTTGATAATGAAAGCTTTTAACCAGATGTTCTTTTTCGGCATTCTGCGGCAAGATCGTTGAAGATTTTCTAGAAAATCGATTATTGTACCCAACTACCTACCTTAAAATTTTTCTAATGGAAAGTTTTAAGTAAATGAAACGTTTATTTCACAACCATCAGTCTATCGATCTGTCGTAGTACAGTGTTATACGTGGTTCTCCCTTGTTACATGTTGAGTTCTTTTTGGTAATATTACTAATACTGGCTGACTGCGAAATTCATGCAAAAAAAAAAATAATGGTAATGTTTCGTGACCTACATAATTACTGCAATGAATGGACAGGCAACTCGGAATAACAACCAAAAAAGTAACTTTATCAGGCACTTTTTTAATCGCAACTTGAAAAACACGAAAAGGGCCAGTCATTATCGAGCGGTCGTTGAAATCGGTGTCGATATGGTAATTTGTGTGCGCGAAAATTTGCAATGCAAGATAAAATAAAAAATAAATAAGTTACCAGTGTGTGATCACCCAAACCTCCCGCCTTAAATTGACATGTGGAAAAAATTTTAAAAGCCCTCGAAATATTAAAAAATTAAAAATTTTGCCTTGGCTGTGATCGTCTAATAAAATGGAACCCTACATTTTGTTTTTTTTTTTTTGTGGCGGAATGATGTTACATTATGCCATATTTTATCAACGATTCAAACAAAGAATTTACATGATGTTAAATTATCCCACACTTTATCAACGATTCAGACAATTAATTTACATGATGTTAAATTATGCCGTGATCCAAGTGACAGGTTACTTAAAACAACTAGCTTTGAGAGTTTATATCGTTTACTGCCCCCAGCTTATCCCAAACAAACACATGATAAATAAACACAAAATGCATCCTGGTCCTTTTTCCCAGAGCGAGCTGTTAAATTGTGTTAGAACCAGTGATGATTTATAATCCTAACATGTCAAATGCGATTTCGCGCCGTTAATTTTTTCAGCGCGAAATTTTAATTCAAATTTGGTCACCACAAGTGTTTTAAAATTATTTTAACTGAAGAAACTGCAAATATGTAAGCCGATTTTAAATAGGTACATTAAGATGTATATGATACTTTGTATTTTTTGTTAAACATATTTTTTAAGGTAATTTTTGTTTGAGTTAGAACTTGCAACAAAAGCGCAGGTGGAATTCAAATTCAGTGAAATTTAGTTAGTACTTTCATAAAAGGACAATTGTCTAAGTAAAATAAATCGCATTCGACACCACAGTTCTTCAACGACTATAATTAGTGTAATTTCAGTTTATTAATGATTTTCTAAACTGAAATGTGTAAAACTTAAAACTATTCCATCAACACATGTTATTTTTGTTTTATTGTTGGAAAATTCGCGATTTATGTTAAGATTTCTAAATGTTGCTGTAAAACACTTATTCAGGTTTCAATTATTTTAATTTACGTTGTATCCAGTATTTCTGGATGTTTTTGCTTAAGATCTTGCGTTATCCATACCTGATAACTTCTCTTTCTAGATTTAAAATAGTTCATTTAGGGCATTTAAACTAATCATAGCGGGCATTTTGAGGGAAAGGACTCTGAGAATTATCATCAGTAAAATTATTAAAATCGTGGACCGAGATTCCTGATGTAAACTTGATGATATATTGTTTGTTATTTCAAGACCTTGCTACAGTGTGACGTATCGAAAATTTGTTTGCTTTGTAGGTTCAATAATTCATTTAATCATGAGAACTTCAGGAGCATAAATTTCATATTAATGCGGTCATCTGTGAAAAACGATTTTAGCACGTGATGGACCCTTTTTAATCAATAATAACAAAATTAAGGTATTGAAGTTCGTTGCAATCATGAAAAATCGAGAAACTCGATCCCCTTGATCAGAGGCACCGATCCCATAACGGAATGTGGAGTCCCAATACAGTCTTTGGTTTTTATCCATATTTAAATTTACCTCCACACCATCGTAATTACTTATGTATTACCATTCAGTTACTTCTCTTTTTTCTTTGTGTGGTTAAGTTTGTGATATTTAAATATTTGTTTTGATTTGTGCCATTTGATTTGATTTTTGAAGCAGGAGAGTGCTTTTGCAGTCTTCTACAGGGTTATTAGTCTTTTAATGTTTTTCACGTGTGAATAACAGCAAATATCATTCATTCAGGCTTAAAACAACAAAACTGTTAGGTGTGCCTTGAATAAAATGGTGAACATTTTCAACATTTACTGCGATGTTTAACCGCAATAAATTCGTTTATTTTTGTTGTAGTGAATTAGTTTTATTTTTTAATAAGATATGACGCATTTAGGCAACCAGTTATACATATGTCTGTGGTATTTGGCGTGCGTGCTTAGGCATTTAGTAAATTTTAAAACTGAGAGGCGGCACGTTTTCTAAATACTATCAAAAAACACAAAATATTTTGGAAATTAAGGAATATATTTAAATAAACCACCACTTACTAGATCGGTAATAATATTTGCACAGTAGTTTAATTAAAGAAAATATAGTGCGGTATCTGATAAAATTTACAGAAGGCAAATAATTTTTGCCGAAATAAATCATACCTTATGGAAAACGAACATCACATTACGAATTTTCACAGATGATATTATGCAACACTGTTATCTGCGTAAATTTAGTTCATGGGTGTTTTATTTTTTCAGATTTTGAATTATTATTGAAACCTCAGTATCGAAAAATAATGCTAATATTGAATATAAAAAAATCATAATCTGGATATCCATAAAATTAAGAAAATCTAAGGAATCTAATTCTTCCAAGAAAAAAAAAAAATCCGGATGAAAGTAAATACAACTGTTACATCTAGAATCAAGTTTTTAACCTTTTTTTGAATTACTTTTTAAAAATGATGTATTTTTAAAATCTAACGTAAAATTTTGGGTTTTTGAACCAAGAAATGCTAATAAAATTAATTGAATAACACACATTCTTTTAAACCTAATCACACAAGAGATAAAAACATTCTTCCAGTAAATGTGAAAGTGGAAATATAAGGTGACATAATTTTTAAAACGAATAATAAGTAATAAAAATATCTTACCAATTTGCAGCATTTCTTTAATGTCGATGAAATATAAAATTAATCTTTGTTATTTGTTGAATTTTAGTAACTACAAAATGACTCCCCAAAAACTGAAGTTAAAAATTTTAGTTTGAATCTTATACTGCAGAACAAGTAATTGCAGCACTAATTCGAAGACATTTAAGATCCTTTCTTAAAAAATGTTGAAAGCACACTGAAAGAACACGAACTCGACATCGACACGTGCCCTATTAAAAATTTAATGAAATAAAAATATAGAAAGGGGCGTGAATGATATAAAATAACATTTCTAGTTAATTATACTAGAATAGGCTCTGCCTTATTAATAATCTATGTACTTCAATTCTCCATCTAACATTTCCCTATGAAAATTTCTGACTGACTCCGTAATACAATTATTAGAAAAAATATAATAAGTAGGTTTGTCCCAAATAACAAATAAGAGCTACTTAATTTGGGTAAGGAGTTTAGAAATTTTTTAATTCTATAAAACTCTGACAAGCTTTAATTATAAAAATGATAATTACCGGGTCGACTTAGATATGAGAGGTTTTATGTTTGCATTTCTATTTAGTTTTTAGTAGACAGGCGACCAGAAATAACTAGAAATCTCCTCCAGAACCTAAGCAAGAATTTTAAGTTCCACGAGTCTCTTGACGAGTCTTTGTTTTCTATTTATTATTAAACCCTACAAGAATGTGTGTCAGCGTACCGAGTCTGGAAGAAGTTCTCACATAAATAATAAAACAGCTTAACCAGAACTTCATTTCTATTTTCGAAAAACGCATTCGACAAAAACTCACAACCAAACATAGTGTTGGTCAAAATATAACCACCCTCTGTTGGAAAAACAAGTAAGTGTTACTTAGTGTAAGTGTTTCCTACTAAATGTTTTTGCAGATAATAAAAATGGAAAGTTACGACTGGAAGTCCACCCTCAAGCTAAACATCCAATCATTAAAAATAATGGGACTGTGGCCCCATAACCTGACGTATAAATTGAATTTATACGTGATGTGCACTTTTTTTTTGTACACGTCGTTCATCATCTGCCACGTGTTTTTTCAAGCAATTAACATTTATTTCATGCGGGATAATTTATCCGCCGTTGTCGGAATTATCTACATTCTACTAATCAAAATTCTGAGCGGCTTCAAAGGTTACTACCTCATCAAAAACATGGGATTGCTTAAACAAGTTTTGGAAATTCTCGACGACGATATTTTTCGACCCAAAACCCCCAATCAAGAGGAAATAATTAAATCGAACGTGCGTTTTTGGAAATTTGTTCGAATGTTGTACGTGTCCACGTGTTACGGAAGCAACTTATTCTTCGGTATATATCCCCTTTTTGACAAATCTTCTGAAGAAAGAAGACTCCCGTTTTTGGCTTGGTACCCATTCGACAGCAAAGTTTCGCCTTTTTACGAGATTACCTACACTTATCAAATGTTTGCTGTGGTGTATAACACAAGTGTGCACATTCACGTCGATTCGTTAATTTGTGTTTTTAATGTGTATGCTAGTTGTCAGTTTGAGATTTTAACCGATAGTTTGAAGAATTTTGGCAAGGAGAGTGAAAAGTTTGCTGGAGAAAATAGCACGATGCTTGTGAAATGTATCAAGCATCATAAATCCATTCTAGAGTATGATTGGACATAATTTCGGTGAAAATTTCTACACTAATGCTCTTTTTTTCTAGTTATATTAAAAAATGTAATCTGTTTCTCAACTGGATTGTCTTTATACAGTTTTTCGTGAGTACAATTTCTATAGGAATAACAATGTATCAATTAACGTTGGTAAGTTAAAAATGTTTTGATATTTTGACTATTAAATTTGTATTTTTCAAAGGTGGCACCTCTTTCGAACCAATTTAATTCTCTTATTTTGTACTGGTCGGCAATTGTAGTGCAAATATTTCTGTTTTGTTGGTTTGGAAACGAAGTCCAAGAAAAGGTGATTTCTATCGTAAAATCGTTGCATATTGTATTGTTAATTTGTTTTTTATTTATTAGAGTGATAAGGTTCCGTACGCAGCTTTCGAGTCTAATTGGGTGGAAATACCTCTAAACACAAAAAAGATGTTGCTATTTTTTACGATGAAATTGCTGAAACCAGTACGACTATCTGCCTTAGATTTGTTTTATCTCACGCTGGACACTTTTATGAGGGTACGAAGAAAACAAAATTTTATAAACAAGAGTTTACTATTTGTGTTTTAGATAATGAAAACGGCATGGTCTTATTTCGCGTTTCTACATCAAGTTGGAACATAGAGTGGTTAATCACTCTGTTTTAAAGTTATTAATGTGTGTATGTAAGGTAACGTTTCATAATAATATATTGTGTGCAACTGTCACGTTTTAACACTTTTGTAACAGTTTGGATAGATGCATTGTAATACTAATAATAAGTATTGTATTATTGTTATTATTGAATAGCTATTTATAATCAATAAAATAACGAAACAATTTAATCAAGTCTGTCCTATGTAATAACAGAGGTGCAACTGCAGACTGAAATGAAAATCATTTATGGTACTTGAAATTTAAGACACATAGTGATAACACTTATCAACCTGTGGACGTGAGATGAATTATAAACTAAACTAAAAGATGTTTTCTACGAATTGCAATAACCGGATCACAATGCCGACGGTCCAGACTTTTTTATTGCTCTGACTGACTGACTAAAACACAACCGGTTTATCTCAAGACATTAAAAAGAAATTGTTGTTCTTCACCATGCAGTTGAAACCTGTTCAGATATCTGCTCTGAATTTGTTTTATCTGTCGTTGGATACATATATGAGGGTAATGGTAGTTAGTGTTGTTACCTGAAATTAATTTTATCTTGTAGATTCTGAAAACTGCCTGGTCATATTTTGCTTTTTTTGTAATCTCAGAAGAAATAAAACAATTTGCGCTTTTTTTGGAATATTACACATTTATGTAGTTTTGGAAGAATTGGTGTTAAAAAAAGTTTTATGATCAAATATACGACGTTGCCCTTTAATTATAGAATTATGTTCTACCGTGTGCCCAGAATTTAAGAAAAATAGGGACAGCTGTTTTTGATTTAACTAATAAAATGAATTGACTCATTCATTAATATTTTCACTCTGTATACCAATTCTAAAAAGTAGGAATATACAAAGAGAAGTACGCTAATCTGAACATTTCAAATGAGACTGACTTTGCAAAATTAGAAGAATGAGGAAGTATAGCCCTCAAAGACCAGAACAACTTTCATCTTTGACTTTTTTCTATCTGTAATAATAATAATTGATAAATTCTTGGAATTTTTAGCAATAAAGGTACACGATTTGTTGCGATATCAACTAAATCAAATTTTAATATACAGAGGAGAATGAGGAAGTATAGCCCTCAAAGACCAGAACAACTTTCATCTTTGACTTTTTTCTATCTGTAATAATAATAATTGATAAATTCTTGGAATTTTTAGCAATAAAGGTACACGATTTGTTGCGATATCAACTAAATCAAATTTTAATATACAGAGTGTTTATAAAAAAATTAAAACTTTACAATTTTCAAATATCGATGTCTCAGTTTTTTCAAATGGAACTCCATTTTTGTCCTCACTCTTCTAATAACTAGCAACTTTAAATATAGAAAATGCTCAGCAAGAAAGAAACAAAGAGAACAAAAAATTGAATAAAATGCAGTAATAAAATATAGGGTGTTTCGTTTGAAAAATATTTAAACATTTTATATACATACACTCCGTATATGAAATTTTAATCTCATTTATACCATAACAAAGCACGTATTTTTCTGTATCTCTTCACAAATTTTTGTAACACAAATTTAAAAAATAACAAAACTGCGATTTTTTTTATAAAGTTTGTTTAGTGACTCACCTTGTATATAATATAATTGTGAGAATTTTTTTCTTTAGATTTATGATGACAAGAATAATATTGCAACAAACTTGACATTTAAATTTTATTATTTTGAAGTTTTTTTCCAAAATCACATTTTGTACATTTTGGGTGCAATTTATTCACTAAAATTTTGAGTTGACGTCATCAATTTTTTATAGAAGATGGGCAAATACATACACTCGGTTTTGCAGTTCTTGATTAAATCAGCAAAATAAATTCACGCAATCATTAATTTTTTTGTGTCACCTTATAAGCAAATCCAAAAAATATTAATGTAGTGATAGATCATAAATATAGGCTCATCAATTTTGGACATTTTAGATTTGAGCTGACGTCATAATTTTTTTGGGCGGGATCAGCAAATATATTTTGATTAAAAATTTGTTATTATTATCATAGATTTAAAACGTCTGCAAGATTGCAATGCGTTCGGTTTTGCTGGTTCAAAATTTTTGCAGAATGTTGTTTTATAATTTAGATTTTTTTTTCGCGGAGGCATATACTACATGTGTAGGACTATGTTATTTTACACAATTTAAAACCCATCTACTATGTACAATTTTGAAGTGACGTCATGAGCATGACATTGGTGAGGATGATTAGACAAATTTTGGTTAGCGTTTTAGCATCTACATGATATTCCTAATATTAATACAAAATTTGACAATAATCGGCCCAGTACATTCGAAGATGGTCAAAACCGGGACGGCTGACATACAGACAGACAGACAGATGGACAGATCGACAGACAGAAACGGGAGACCTATTTCTTCGTACTGTAGCGGTCATGAAAAGACTAGAAAACGTAAAAGCAAAAGAGTCGGCCGACGGACTCGATTACAATACTTCCAGAGCATATGTGAAAAAATAAATAGACAACTGTTAAAATTTTATTAAATAATCAGTATGTTAGTTTAATTTATACAGACATTTGATATCGTTTTCTTTAAAAGCTGTGTGCATGTTTCAAGTAGCCTAGAAGCTTGTAAATGCCATAAAAAAATTAATGGAAAATAATTACTCCTATTTTCCAGGACATCTGAAAAAGGTCCTTAATAAATAAGTTCGTTCAAATAATATAAATATACGGTAATTTTGAAAAGTATCAGTTACTTAGCAGACAGCTTATAAATAATGAAAAATAAAAATTGCAAGCAATTATATCGGTATGAAGATGTCTTGGAACTAGCATTAATAATTAACGAGGTTTCGATTAAATATTAGTTCCCAGTTGAATTTTGATCACGTAGACTTTATAACCTATATATATATTTATTAGTGCTTTAGAAGTCTATTTCTCCTGTGAAGAAAATCCTGTGTGTGCCATGGTCCTTGACTTTATTGTAATTGCAAATGTGAGTATCAAAGAATTTTTGTTGTTTGAATCACACGTTGTGACATAACTAAATAAATTAAAAGGGTTTAAATTTTATTTTCTTTTACTTCCCGAGCGAAAGCGAAGGAGGTATTGTAATCGAGTCCGTCGGTCGACTCTTTGCTTTTACCTGTTTTCGACCATTCATCACACCTACAGTGCGAAGAAAGAGGTCTCCCGTTTCCGTCTGTTTGTCTGTCTGTCCGTCTATCCGTCTGTCTGCCGTCCCCATTTTTATTAGACAGATAATTTCCGAAAGTACTGGGCCGATTGTTGTCAAATTTTGTATTTATATTAGGATTATCCACACCAATAATGTGAGGATGTCACTTCAAAATTGTATACGCTAAATGGGTTTCAAGTAGTATAAAATAACTCCCAATTGGGTTTTTACCCGAAACCTCCAGATTTTTGGAAAAAAATTAAAAATTATGAAACACCATTTTGCAATTTAATTAAAAATATCGAGAAAATTTGAAAGTACCAAATTGCCCAATGAACTTCATTACTGTACGTCCTTAGGCTATCCTCGATAAGAAAAACAACTTGAAAGCGTTTATGTTTATACATCGGAAGAATGTCACGTAGAAATTTGTTTGATTTGAATGAATTCGTCCTCTCCAAACAGAGAATCAAAACTATCATTATTATAATCAGAGAACATAGGGAAGCGTTATAGTTTAAATTAAATGACGGTTGAGGACTCCTCGACTTTTGTTGTTTCTAACTAGGAATAAAATTAACTAGAAAAAATGTCATAATATTTTTAAGGACGCGTTTTACTTTCGACAAATTGACACTAGATTTACCAGAATATTACAAGCTGCTTACTGTTTCCTTCACTTTAATTCAGGTCAGGTCAGGTCAGGTCAGGTCAGTTCGTTCGTCGTCTGAGAACTTGTTTGATCTACAGACCAGAGCGCACTCAGATTTCATTTATGAACAATGATCCGTGATCTGATACACATCCTAACCGGTTTCAACTTTCGATTTCTCAATTTTTCGGTTCTTTAGATTCTCAGTTTTTGGATATTTCAGTTTTGGGATTTTTCAGTTTTTCGATTCGTCAGTTTTTCTTTCATTTTTCAGTTTTTCGATATTTCAGTTTTGAGATTTTTCAATATTTCTGTTCTTCGACTTTTTTTTTGATTTCTGGATTTTTTGATGTGTCGACTTTTTACTTTTTTGATTTCTCAATTTTTTGGTGTTTTAATTTTTCAATATTTACAATTTTAGATTTTTCGATTTCTCGATTTTTCATTTCAGTTCTTCGATATTTCAGTTATTCAAGTTTACGAATTTTTCAAATGTTTTGATTTCTTAATCAATCGATTTTTCGACTTCCCGATTTTAGAATTTCTGTTTTTCAATTGCCGT